CCTGGCGGCGAAACGAAGACCAAAGTGAATCAAAGCGATGCAGTAGAGCATAGCGCCTCCTCGAAGAAGATAGCACTAAAACGCTTTTGGTTTAAACCGATGGGAAACGAGCTAAGTTATATTTCTTAGTTTAACTAAACGGTAGCAGTTTCAGATAGCGGCACGAAGGGGATATTTCCCCTTTGTCTCAATTCCAAAGGCATTTTACTGTTCTACAGTGAAACTGCTCCGCTGCCCGTCACTCAGTAGCAGTTTGTATTGATCTTTTCCATTAACCAATTTGTGTTAGTAACGGGAGACGAAGAAGGTCATGAAAACGTTGTTAGCTGTATACTGTTACCCGGAACCTCAAGTGAATTGACTCTGATAACGGGCTGCTTTAAAAACAGTTTTCCTGGGGACTGCGTATTATAAACCGGGATGTATTGTTTTTTCCAATTTCTTAGAGGTTTTTCCAGAAATGATTTCTAGGTCCCGATTAATTTTTTTAAAGATATTGCTTTTTCAGGTGCCTGGAAATCGGCTTCATATCTTCTTATTATGAGAACAGGAACTGTTGGAAAAATCCCAAATAGGAAAACCGAGAAGAAAGAAAGTCAAGTACTGGTACCTAAAAAATTGACCTGAAGTCCTGGAGATCTAGGATTAAACCAAAGAGACAGAAAATCTAGAAACAAGACTATAATTTCATCCCTTGCATTTTCATTGTCTCTATTACAAGTAAGTGGATGTGAAACAAGGAACGGTATAATAAGGTGGTAATGGCCGGAGAGTGCATTATATATCGGATGGGCGTGAGACTGATATTTTGTTACCAAATCAGATTACTGGGTCACTGTGTTTATAAATGTTTGAAGAACAGTTAGACATACCATTAAGTGATAAGATACACAGCTCTCAAGCGCCAACACATAGCATAGAAAGACTGCATAATTTTCACCCTGAATGGTCCACAAGCTGACAGAATCCTCTGTAAATTAAATTTGCGTTCTACTGAATTGCCAGCTCTAGATAGCCTCGCCCCTCGGAACCGTTTTGGAGCCAATGGCCATATGTGGCTGGTGGTGGGCTCCATTTGCAGGTTTTATTGGTCCACAGAGCTGTATGTGCATCTGGTTATTTTACAAGACCGGTATCCCGCGGTACTACATGTAGCACGGCGCATATATACTGGCTTTGCTTCAGAATTGCCTCCGTGTTATCAGCATTTTGTGCAAGGCTTCATGTTTCCATGATGCTAGTCTGGGGAAATAGGAGGCTTCATGCGTTTTTAAGGGACTGGAAAAGCAATTTTTTTTGCGTTCGTTTTTGATTGACATTATCAGTTGATATAAATAGATGCATGCATGTGGTTGTTTGTGTGTGTGTGTGTGTGTGTGTGTGTGTGTGTGTGTGTTCGTTTGTGTGTGTGAGGGGAGAGAGAGAGAGAGAGAGAGAGAGAGAGAGAATTACGGAGGGAAAGAGAGAAAAGAAAGGGAGAGAGAAACCGAAACATTAATCCTACCTTGCAGTTATCATTCAGCAGATTAGGATCTCTATCAAACAGATCGATGTTGACATCTTGATGAGGCTCTTCCAGTTTCGTCTCTTCTCCACCAACTGTCAAAGGGATGGAGGACTCATTTGCGGCTTCGTCAGCTTTCTTATCCGACATTTTCGCGTGGGACGTAAAACTCACCGAAAGAGAAGTAAACGTGCAAGGATAACCCAAGTGCTTGACCTCAACGGCTAGGCGGTGTCTCTCGTCCTAAACTGCCGCGGACGCTGGTAGTAAATTCCAGCTGCAAATGTTCAGATCAAGCTAAACAACGGATGCCAGCTGAAGACGATCCCATTCTGAGAGAGGGGTGATGACTCTCCGATTTTGAAATAATATATGCATGTACCTTTCTTGGTGATATTAAGAAGGGTTTGGGTGTGCATAATTGAAAAAAAATGGCACTTTAAATTGACAGCTACTTTTGATTAAAAAAAAATGGCATGTAAGTTTTTTTTTTTATTTACCTGACATGTGTTAATATGAATCAATTATATGGTTTATACTTAGTGGACTTCAGCTAACGCATCGGAAAAATCTGGATTTGGTATTGTTTCTTGTGCGTGTGTGTGCGTGTGTGTGTGTGTGTGTGTGTGTGTGTGTGTGTGTGTGTGTGCGTGCGTGTGCGTGTGTGATTAAATGTGTGTGCGTGTGCTTCTGTAGAGCTAAGGCCCAAATGTGAAGTTGTGGTCGATGAGTGTGCTATATATGCCGATAATACCGGGAAACTCGAGGTGTAAATAATGTATTTGGATTGTTTCTTTAATGCGTGTTCATGCACAAGTATGTGTGTGTGTGCCCCTTCACTGTATGTGTGCTTATGTACTGGTACCTGCATGTTAGTGTGTGAGTGTGTGCTTACGCTTTCATTTGTGCAAATTAACCATTAGAACGCACTTTGATTGTGTTCTTGATAATTTAACCCCAGTACCGAAGGTCAAATATTTTTTCAGTTTTACAAATTTAAAATAACGAATGCCCTTGACCAAATAAGAATGAGTTACTAAATTTATGAATTCATGAACAAAACATGTCATAAAAAGCATGTACGGTGATCACTATCAAAAAGTAACCAGCCGAAGAACTTAGGTCTGTTTAAAAAAATGCCCTTCTCTCCCACGTACGGTTCTTCATACCTTGTGCAGTAATTTGTGTATTGTTGATACTGACAAAACGGATTTTTTATGCATTTTACCCTCAGAAAAAAAGAGATAGAATCATATCATCTTGCAGTCGATGTTAATAGCCAGCTGATCTAAGCAACCCACCTTCAAAGTATCAGATGACGGAAAACATTTGCAGGGTAGAAGCGAATATCACCACGTGCGCACCCTGGGTTACGAAGGTTAATGTTAACAGCAAACGTGTGTTGATAATACAGAGGTGATCCCTGCAACTCAGGGTCATAAGAATAAGTATTTCTATTGACACGATTCCCCTAGTCTGAAATTAAGTTTGATTTCAACAATACAGGACCACAGCTTGAAAGAAACGCGCAGGAGAGGGGTGGGGCAACAGCTGAAGGAAGGTCCGTAATATTCTGTACGCGCAAGCAGATTACCTGCATCTCAGAGTGAATGAAAAACAAGGAGCTTCTGAAATACTAGGAGACAAATGAAGGCAAGCAGCCGTAGACCCTGCGGCCCAGTAATATACCACAGAGAGCAAAATGAAAATGCGTGACTTCGAGCTGTTGGAATGTAGGTTGTATAATGAAAAGGCTGAACAATATCTATACGTCAGAATCTGAAATTGCTCATGGTCGAAGAAGAATTTCTGGACTGATCAATTGCGATTGAAGCACCGATTGTGCCCAAAGCGTCATTGTGCTTAGGATTGTGATCGCTGCTCGAGGACGTCGCATCTGATGCATTCTTGTGTTAAGACTGACAATGCTCTAACATTCAAAGTGTCCTTTTCCATATGCAACTCGTTTTACGTAACAACCTTTTAATTGAACTAAATTATCGTAAAAATACCCCAAAATAAATAAATTAGAGATCAGTCCGTACATGGACATACGTAATGGATTGAAAATCGAGTGCACCTACCAGTATACTGTATATAAGGTTGATATTCAATAATGAGTATGTCTTAAATATGTGAACATGCCCAAGTGAATGTTTTGATGGCATAAAAGTGTGGATGGATTGTCACTACTAATGATCGATTGTGTGAAGAGTATGATCCCACAGGGACTTACTAATGGTCCTTATTGATAGCGCTGTTAGACAGGGAATGGGGGACCGAGGGGTTAACGCATACGGAAACTATGTACCTTGTACTCTTAATTAGTGTGTGTCTAGCAAACATTTCTGGTAGAGAGATAGAGAGAGACGAACGACAGAGAGAGACAAAAGAGAGAGAGAAAAAGAGAAAGAGAGAGAGAAAGAGAGACAGCAAGACAGAAATTGTGTGAGAGAAGAGAGAAAGAAAGAGAATGTGAGAGAAAGAAAGTGAGAGAAAGAGAGAAGAGAGAGAGAATAGAGAGAATGAGAGAGAGAAGAGAGAGAAAGAAAGAAAGAGAAAGAAACAGAAAGAAAGAGAGATAGAAAGAGAGGGAAATAGAGAGAGAAAGAGAGAGTGAAGAGAGAGAGAAAAGAAAGAATGAGAGAGAGAGAGAGAGAGAGAGAGGGAAAGAGTCTATCAGGTTTCTATGTTTTCTATATGGAACAAAGATGTACTGTAGTTCAATTCTTTTAATTATCTCATTCTGCCAAGATGAAGCTCGATGTCAATATTAAAAACGATACGACGTTATTGATATTTTATAACATGATCCGATTTATCTACGCTGGTCTGTAGATTTTTATCGCCTGCTTACGTGCTTCTCTAATGAAGTCTGAAAACTGGATGACTCAACGATAATTCAAGGCGATCAGATAAAACAACATCATTTATTAATAACAACTCTAAATGTATCTGGATAATCAGATAGAAAAATATAACCCATTTACTTATACTTGAACAGATCATTAAAAGTAATCAAGTTATTAAGAGCAAGGCCTTGAACGGATGTGTAAAAAAACACAATTTATGGATGCTAATTGGAAAGAGCATCTAAAAGCCACAGCCCCATTGTAGATCAAATGAAACGAAGATTAACGTGTAAACAATATCAAACTAAATGTCGTGCTAGAGGTTCCAGGATGACATGTCAAACCCACAATAATAATATCATTCTTAAATGTGAAGTCAATATCCTCAGAAATACAGGAACCAAATATTGGAACCTGCCTGTGATTAACAGCCAAGTAACGTTGACATCTCAACGAGGAACTGTTGTTCATTACAAAGCAAGGTGCAGTGTTCGTTTTCATTTAATCCTTAACTTCAAAAATTATACTAAATACCAACTGCCCGGACGAATAGGTACGTATTGCGTCTTATTGCCGTTTCAGGATGCAAGCAATTTCAGCTCTGAACTTCTTGTTAAGGAGGGCGTAGACGATGGGGTTAACGGCAGCGCTCAACATAGCTATTGTAGCTATCAGCAGCTGCAAAGAATCAACCAGTACGAAGCTTCCCCCTTCCTGCTGCCCAGAGTACGTCCGCTGCACGACCGTTGCTATGGGAACCGGAAGCCACAATACAAAGAATGTCACGATAATAACCGACGTCATCTTGGCAAGTTTTGTCTCCAGGCGTCTCTTACCGAGAACTCGGTTCTTGTTAGTCATCACGCAGACCGAGCCGTATATTTTTGCCTCACCCACGGCAACTGCTTGCGATGTGGTGACGTTGCCATCAAAGTCAATCACTTGTATTTCGTTTGTCACATTCTGGTCTTCTCTTTTTTCTGCAGTGTTTTTGCCGCTCTGATTACTATGACGAACGGCTTGGAATCCTTGGTCACGATCCGAGTCGCCTCGAAGGTGCTGCCCATTCTCAATGAGATCTTTGTTTGTGCTGTCAGGTGCATCACTGACAGACAAGTCTTTGACTACACTAATGGAGGCTCGACAGACATCTGATAGTGCTGCTGGCATTGTGCTGTAAGATAAATATCGGAGATTCGCGCGAGTTTCTTTGTCATTTTGATTGCTTATGTTTGTACTCCTCTCTGAGTATTCTTGTACTCTTTGAGGTAAATGCCAATTGTTCACTCTCTGCGGTGAAACAATGTTTGGATTCCTTTTTCCCGCAGAAACATTCACCCCCGAGCACTGCACACAACAATCCGCGCCATCTAGCATCAAAAACGCCGCTTCTTTATGATTTTTAGTCGCGCATCGTGCAGCGTTTAAGACATTGGGCGAATCCTGCTTTACTCCCTGCAAATTGTTTTTTGAACCAAAATCATGGAATTGCAAGGTGTTGTCACTTGTCTTACCAATAGATGGCCTTTCAGTCGCTTCATTCGAAACGCACTGCGTGCTACGCACACTTTCTTCATTTATATTCAACCCGGGTGTCTCTTTAGTTATTGTGCTCGTTGAGTGAATTGTGCTCAGTCTGTGCGTTTCCACTGTATGTTGGTCGGGAGGACTCACTTGAGGGGTTCCTGACGGCAGTAAATCTGACGAGTTAAGAATTGCCGTTGTTTGAGTCATGTCTTTCCGGGGACTTACTATGTACCGGGCTTGTTCCCCGTTTGGAACGTCCTCTGACAGAGTTCTGATCGGGTGAACCTTGTTTTTTTGACCGCCAAACGGTTTTCTAAATATCTTCCTTTTCTCCTCTACCTTGCAAAGTATTCGGCAGTACGCCACGGACACTATAAGAATTGTTACAACGGTTAATGGTGATAGAATATAAAGGCTGTAGACGCCATCCATATGTAGAAGTTCCGTGTTGTACTTCAGACACATATCAAACAGAGGTGAATCGCGCAAAAGAACAGCCCATATAATGCCTATGGATAGTCCAAGAGTCCACGTCACCACTGTCATCACGATCACTCTCAGACGCCTTTGCTCTTTGTCAAAGGGTTTCGCAACTGCCTGGTACCTTTCGTAACTGATGACAGCTATTGTCAACAACTGAACAATCTCCCCCGTTGATTGAAAAAACCCTTGCATTACGCAAACTTCTAACGGCACGATGTACGTCGTGAAATTCTCTAGAATGATCACAAACGCGATTGGGACGCTCAGAAGGCAGATGATCAGGTCCGAAATGGCCAGGTTGACCAATGGGACGTTGACAGCTGTTTGTAGCGCCCTCCTGCACCCGACAGCAACTACCAGGGACAGATTGCCAATAGTTCCAAGAATTAGAGCCACGAACAGCAGGAACAGATTGACGACTAGAATTGGATCGCGAGCGACACCATTTTGAATATAATTTGTTTCTTCGACCGCCATAGAAGCATTGCTGCCGTTAATGCCTGTGATATTCTGGTTAAGCCCCGACATCCCTGTGAACTAGTTAATCCAGTCTTTACGGCAGTACACTAGGTGTTGGCATTAATCGTTTTTACATAACTAATGTATTTTAACGTTTCCCTGTAGTGAATCGGAAGTCTAAGTAGAAATGTGCTTTACATGTTTTGCGTTGTTGGTAGATGCAAAGAAGCACTAAATCCTCGGTAACCGCATAGAGACTCGGTGCATGCAACCATACAAGTGCTTCTAAGAAACAGGTTGTTTTAAGACGGTGAAGGTTGCTAACGCTGCGGTTAATACGTTATCGTCATACCAAGCGTGGCACTCCTCTTCATGCAAAGAAGACTAGTGTTACTTTCGTGTTGTACGTACGTGGGAATCTTTTTTTCTTCTTGTCTCCTTGTTGATACTCGAGCGCCTAGGATCGTTCTCCCCCTTCACAAATTCATCAGCCTGGAAGAGAATATGATACGTTTCATAATGAAAATCTATTTTTGATCTTCTTTTCTAAACAGATAAACATCATCATCCGCGCAGAAAATCTTGAAACTCATAATAGACTAAGCTCACCTGCTAAATACGATGCCTTTGAAGAAATACAGGTATTTTATTCCTCAACTAGGTACAGCTCATTACAGTCACCAGCAACCGCAATGACGTGTTTCGTTAAACCGAACTCTGATTAACATGCACGCAACTTATATATCTATTTCAAAATACTATGTAAATAGAGATTTGGCCAATTGCCAAAAGCTTCCGGATCGACTTAATCACAGGAAACTTAATCAGACTGTATATTTTTACTTAAAATCCTTATTTGTGATACTGATAATTGAACAGATTAAGAAAAAGTGTAATTTTATTTGACGTTAATTGGGGTATTGGCTACTGCTAAATTATTCTCTTGATCTTAAATTGGAACTTTTCAACTAGTACAAATAAAGAAAAATACGTTACTCTAACTACTCAGATCGGTACAGGTCCAGGAAATTAACACTTGGGTGTGCATATATTTTAAAATGTGTCAGTGACAGCAATGCTATTCGTGAATTTTCAAATTCTTCGAAGCAATGACCCATTTTTCAAAATATCTATGTAAAAATAAACCAATGATTTTCATCCAGAACTAACACGACTCAATTTATTCCATGTATCGTACTTCCTTTTTCCACATTATATGACACTAAACCAAGCTAAACCATGAGACTCAAAGTATGTTTTAACTGGAACAAGCTAAAACAAAAACTAAAAAACATTTTGAAAAATCGTATATGATTTTAAATGGATTAGAATGAATACCGCAAATTACAAAGCAATGATACACAAATTAATAAGGTATGTGTCTCAATCCCTCTGTTTCCAATCACTAAGGATTTATCAAAATCTCCTGGAGGCTCTTGTCACAATACACAGTATTGTAATCCGCCCATAATTACTCGGCGAAGCCACGTTACAGTACGCGCAAGTATGGTTGGTTGGTTTTCTTTTACTGGGGTGCTGAAGCCTCTGACAATGTAAAAATATCATATATCTATGCCTGCAATAACCTTTAAATATCCCATGCTGATGAATGTCCCTATACAGGGTGTATAAAGAAAAAAGTGAACACTTAAAAAAATACCCAGAATTTTAAAATTTCATTTCATATAACAAATGTTAATGTAAACATAGGTTCGTAGGAAAATTATGCTTCAAAGCACACCATGGATTGTCGTGTCTTTTCACGCATGACTGAGCAGGGTCAAATTACGTCATGAGGATCAAATTTTTATTTCAAGAACTTTTTTTTCGCAAAAGGTTGATTAATTGCCATGAAATGGTTATATAAATGGTTTTCAAATTAAAAACCTGCCAATTAACCTTTTGTTTCCTGTTATCTGCCATTTATGTTCTTTTGTCATGAACATCCAATATACAACGTGCAGTTTATGGCATGAGGAGAAGAGCCCAAATCTGCTTGGTCTGAAATGGACAGCATGTTGAAGACTAAGGGTTAAAACTTTGAAGTTATGACACATGTACGTACAAACTGCTTCAGTTGAAACTTGTGGAGGAGAAGTTCTTGTAACATTGGATGTTCATGTCTCGTTTCTGTGCATTTTGATACACAATTCAAGCTTGAATAAAAAATCGAATGTAATTTTTTTTTTAATTTCCAACGCACTTTTTTCATATCTCAGACTTACAGATTGATTCCTGACTTAAAGATTAATTATTATATATTTTCAAAACTGGCATAAAAGAATTTCAAAAACTGGCCACGGAATACAAATATTAATGCATTTTTTCAAGTCCAACGCAGTGCTAACACATCGCAAATCGCTCAATAAGGAGGAGCTGTCTCTGTAATTCTGGGTTTAATGTAATGCAATTAAGTTTATTTGGTTTCCAATTAGCCAGCGGATTGACGCAATATGTTGACTGTGTTTCAGGGCAATAAGGCCTATAGATTAAGGTCTTTATTAAACTGAAGTAAAACTGAAACGGTAGCTGCTCGGTTCCTTTTAGCTTAATGACAAGATGTGTATTGATTTATTAAAAAAAGTATTTTTCATCTTTATTTGCTATTAAACATATAAATGGAATATTGGTCTATAGCACCCTTTCATTTAATGATCTACCGTATATGGTACTATTATAGTTAGTTTCTTAAGACGCTAACATCCGGAGAGAGAGAAAGAGAGAGAGAAAGAGAGAGTATAGACTTCATTTATTTTTAACTTTCAAGGGGAGGGGGTCCAGTTCTCATGGGATCCTGTTCTCATTCAAGGATGCTACCATCATTACGGGTTGAGACAAATGTCAAATCTGTTTGAAACTACGATCCTGTGCACAAATGTACCCAACCAAACAGATATTAGCTACAAACGACAATGCGCGCGACCTTCAGACCAACTTGCCGTAAGGCGACATGTATGTGTGCGACAGAAAGGGAAGTGCCTGTGCTACTTTTCATTGCATAAACTTTCCAAGAAGCAGAGGGCACCGTGACAATTACCTATTCAGACGACATAACAAATATATTTTGTAATTGTAATCCCTATATTGTTGTGCGCGGCCGATGGCTGGGTTACTGAAGCATTACATGTATCTTGCACGGAAATGGCATTATTATGAAAGAGTTGATTTTAAATTATTAAAAGATTTCATTTACAAGTGGGTTCAGTTATAAAATATAGTTTGACAACTACCATGGCATTACTCTACCAAGGTAGATGTCAGTATCAAACACGGTGGTTTAGGTGTCGCGACTACCTTTAAACTATATTTGCAATATCGGTCTGAGCCCATTTGTTACCATATTTCTCTGCTAAAGACTCTTTTGTATTCATGCTCCACGATTCACTGTCAAGCAGGAAAAGTACGTACTGTACTAATTTTGGTTTAAGAACCCAGTCGTGCGTTTTTGAAAGCAAGATGTTAAGTAACTTTTGGACAGTGTATATTCTTAACTGGATTATAGGGAACAAATGTGCGACATGATGCAAGTATTAGATCGCATTCACAACGAGTTGAGCCATGGTTTTACAAATCCCGGAACTAAATATGGCGGACGTAAACGAAAGAAAAAACGCTTAATCTTTTAATAGTCTCTCCGCCTCTCACACGCCTCCCCATGTGTCGTCCCAATGGAGCCGAGATTTAATGACCGTACCCCCGCAGGGACGCCGCATGGGGAGGCGTGTGAGAGGCGGAAAGACTAATAAAAGATTAGGCGGTTTTTCTTTCATGTACGTCCGCCATATTTAGTTCCATGATTTGTAAAGCCATGGCTCAACTCGTTGTGAATGCTATCTTAGACATTGTGATAGGGTATACTGCTTATTGAAATTCGAAATTAATCGTACTCCCATCTATTTTCGACAGTTACATCGATCGACACCATATTTAATGTATGGCCATAAGGAATATGTCTGGCACTTCTTTCCAAAGTAAATTGCCTACCTGGCATTCCGTTGTCAATTGACTGAAAGGCAAGATTGACAGGTTTTTGAGAAGAGTAGAAAGGCGCCTTCAGCGCTCTTGAGCATAAGTAGGCACGAACTGTGTGACAGTCCTAATTTGGCAAATGAGTTGGTTGGGTTTGGGTTTTGCGACCAAGTCAGTTAAAAGCGCAGGACATAGCAGGGTTTATAGGTTCTGTCCATTTCTATAAGCAAATGTAAACCTAGATGAGATATTTTCATGACAGAGTATCACGCCATGCGTCAAGTCTCTAATCCAACGATACCTAACTTACGAGAGGTGTTTTGGCTGTTTTCTCCTCCCTCAAAGCCCGTAGTTTATTTGTTTCTAACCCCTACCCCACACGAACACTCGTAGTTTTGCTTCCTGCATATGGCAATACATTTAAAAAAGAACCTAACGTGCATCAAAATGCACAAAAAAAGGGTCTTATTTCAAGCTTGAATAAAAAATCGAATGGAATTTAATTTTTAAAATTCCCAACGCAATTTTTTCATATCTCAGACTTACAGATTGATTCCTGACTTAAAGATTAATTATTTTATATTTTCAAAACTGGCATAAAAGAATTTCAAAACTGGCCACGGAATACAAATATTAATGCATTTTTTCAAGTTCAACGCAGTGCTAACCCATCGCAAATCGCTCAATAAAGAGGAGCTGTCTCTGTAATTCTGGGTTTAATGTGATGCGATTAAGTTTATTTGGTTTCCAATTAGCCAGCGGATTGANATTTCAAAACTGGCCACGGAATACAAATATTAATGCATTTTTTCAAGTTCAACGCAGTGCTAACCCATCGCAAATCGCTCAATAAAGAGGAGCTGTCTCTGTAATTCTGGGTTTAATGTGATGCGATTAAGTTTATTTGGTTTCCAATTAGCCAGCGGATTGAAGCAATATGTTGACTGTGTTTCAGGGCAATAAGGCCTATAGATTAAGGTCTTTATTAAACTGAAGTAAAACTGAAACGGTAGCTGCTCGGTTCCTTTAGCTTAATGACAAGATGTGTATTGATTTATTTAAAAAATATTTTTTATCTTTATTTGCTATTAAACATATAAATGGAATATTGGTCTATAGCACCCTTTCATTTAATGATCTACCGTATATGGTAATATTATAGTTAGTTTCTTAAGACGCTAGCATCCGGAGAGAGAGAGAGAGAGAGAGAGAGAGAGCGTTCTCTAAAAGAGAGTATAGACTTCATTTATTTTTAACTTTTAAGGGGAGGGGGTCCTGTTCTCATGGGATCCTGTTCTCATTCAAAGATGCTACCATCATTACGGGTTGAGATAAATGTCAAATCTGTTTGAAACTACGATCCTGTGCACAAATGTACCCAACCAAACAGATATTAGCTACAAACGACAATGCGCGCGACCTTCAGACCAACTTGCCGTAAGGCGACATGTATGTGTGCGACAGAAAGGGAAGTGTCTGGGCTACTTTTCATTGCATAAACTTTCCAAGAAGCAGAGGGCACCTTGACAATTGCCTTATTAGACGACATAACAAATATATATATATATATATATATATATATATATATATATATATT